AGGCGATAAAGCCACTGAGAAGAAAGAGATTACTGAGAGTGAAAGAAACTGAGGAAATGTTATTGAGGAGAAAGGACAATATGAAAAAAAAAAAAAGATTTTAAAAAGAGAGAAGTTGGCGATTGACGTTGCATTTAATTTTTTTTTTAGATCCTAGTTGACAGGAAAGCAAGAAGCTGGAAGAGAGGTCCACAAACGAAAAGTGCGAGAGAAGAAACTATCAGAATAGAACTTACGGTTACATATAGCAATTTCAACTGTAAAAAGACGTGACCTAACTGCCAATCTAGTATTAGGCTTAAGTTCATGAAGTCGAGGTACCAAAGAGGAAAGATCATCAGAACAAATACCATAAAAATATTTATAGAAAAGGCAGCTATGTTAATGTGGTGAGAAAAAGACTGAAGACGACAGAGGGAAAGGAAATATCAGTGAAAGAGAAAAATCCAGAAATCTTATGTGTCAGTTGCCAGTTCAGAATTGAAGGTCGGATTTACTTGAATCTCGGAGGCACTCTGAAAGGTGTCCAAGAAAGAATCGATAAAAGGACCTGATGAGTCAACCCTAATGACTAAAGTGACTAAACAGAAACTTTCTAAGTTGTAGAGCAGGTGCTGGCGAGGATAATGTCTCTTGTGTAATCATCTATTAACAATATGCTTCTGGCGATTTAAGTTTATTAAAAGGAAAACGGTATCTGCCACCTGTCCATATAACTCTCATTTTGTATGAGTTTGTCTTTTTGTTTTCTGCCTCGCTTCCAGCTTTTCTAAGTACTCAAATTACTCAAGTTTCTTGGAGTGAATTGTGAAATCGAAAATTATTTCTTCAAAATTATTATTGCTGTTTTCTAAGCTGGACCAGAAGTCACTTTAGTTTTGGGCAGGAGTTAGCTTAAAATTCGGCATGAAGTGCTGCTTTTCATCTACTTTGTAATAAATGTATATAAGCGCACTTGTTTTAAACTGTAAAAAAATTGGTAAAATAGATGAAGTTTCAGTAACATTCAGACTTCTATTCGACGTGGCTAAGTGGTTAGAACGCTTGCTTTCTGGCCATGAGACCCACGTTCTAATCCTTCAGAGGAGATAAATTTATCTCCCTTTGTCGGTAACTCTCTAGGTGAAAAGGATATTTATTGTTCATTTCTTGCTCGTCGATACATCAAGAAAACGTGTTATATTTTGATTCTATATTATTTTTATAGGTCCACGAGTGATGTCCTGTCATGACATATATAACTCTTAGCGGCAAGCAGTATATATTTCGCTCCTCTACGTTCATACTAATGCCCCTTAATTGCACACATAATCAGTTAGGCACTCGATAATAAATTAATCACAAGAGCGTTCACTTTGGATATCACAAAGACCATTGACAAGGTGTGGTTAAGGCAGTTGCCACACAAACTCTCAAAGTGTGGAATCTCTTGAAGAGTCATCGCAATCATCAATTTTTCCCTGTCAGGTAGGTCCTTGAAAGTCGTTGCCAATGGTCAGACATCTGGAGCCCATGAGATCAATGCAAGAGTCCCATACAACTCACTCCTTGCTCCTATCCACTTTCTGCATTATATTAACGATCGATCTATAACAATTCTCAAATCGTTAGTAAATATCTTTGCCCGTGATTGGTATCAGTTTACGGGAATCTAGATGACCCGAGTATGTTTTCTGGTTTCTAATCTGATTGAGCTTTAACAGCACAACGAGAGAAAAAAAACTGGCTTGTAACTTTTCATCATCACCGTGCTGATCCTGGATTCTTACCAGCTACGATGACTGATTCCATTACCAAAGAAGCTCCTTGCTTTGAGAGTCTGTTGAGTCTCAAGTTCACTCCAGGCATCAAGTAGAACTCATACATACGATAAATCGCCAAAGACGCACAAAAAAATTGATTGGCTTCTTATACTACTTCAGAAGGTACCCGATTCCTCCTGCCATGTTCTATATTTACAAGAGTCAGATCAGACCAACAAATGGATTATTGCTGCCATATCTGTGCTGGAGCTGCTTCATCTGTTCTTTTCAAACTTGACAGCGTCCAGAAGCGGTTAAGTGGCCCTGTAGGTGATGTATTATTTTCCATCCTACAACCTCTTTCCCCACAGATGCAACGTTACAAGCCTATCGCTACTCGATCATTATTTCCATGGGAAGTGCTCAGAAGAATTACGCTTCCCAGTTCAACCAATTCAAACCTTTACAGATACTATGCACACAGAGGCAAAACCATCTTCATTCCCTTTGTATTCCATTGGTAAGAAGGAGGTTCCATTAGAATATCTTCTTCCCAAGCGCCGCTGCATTGAGGAACAGACTCCCGAGAGGATACTTCCCTGATCATTACAATCTTAACCTCTTCAAGTTCAGAATCAACAGTTATCTATCCTACATATACTCACAATCTACAATTCTGAAGTCCATAACACAACTCTATTCATTAATCTTCTAACGTAAAAAAATGTTTTTCTCCTCGTCGGATTTCAAGAAGTATAATGTCATTTCTCATAGATATTTCGATCTTGTCTCGCTAGATCAATTACAACTGAATAGTGAGTTCGATCCTCACTGAGTACCACACACTTTCGACCTTGCATTCACTATAATATCATTTCTCTTCACTTCCCTTTCATGAACCATCCGTGACAACACTGCTGCTCAAGCTAAGAATTCTATTATCTCTCTTGCGAGGACTATTTCTATGTTCAGGGCTATGGGCTGAAAATTTTAGGGCCGCATGTTCAGTGCTTAAAAGAAAGCCACCCGGAAGAGCTCGAAGCAATCGAAATCCAGAAAATGTGTTTAATTACATTCCTTGGACAATTCTTTTAATGACTTATGTAGTAACCTTAATTCTCCTCCTCCTTCTATGTGCCGTGTCTCTTCAGGACGTTAGCGTTTATGGCTCTCCACAATTTCCTGTCCTTTGTAGCTGTTAATAAATTTTGTCTTTTTGTTATCTCTCCTAAACCCTGCTCCGCCATCCATTTATTCTTCTTCTATGTGTCGTGTCCTTTCATGACGTTGGCGATCATGGCTCTCCCAAACCCATAATCTGCCATCTATACACTCAAGCTCGCCAGATAGGCTATACTTTTTGATGTGAAGTATGTGTCCTTTTCGTTTCCATTTTTTCTAGAACTTCGTCGTTACTCACATGTACGGTCCATGGTATTCTCAGCATCCTTCTGTAGAACTACATTTCTGTTGCTTCAAATGTCTTCTTCATCTGTGAGGAGATTACCAGCATTCACTGTTATTAGGAGGAGTGATATTACATAGCAGTTCAATACTCTTTGCTTTGGTTCTAACGGAATTTTTCCGTTTCTTAATACTTTGCTTAATGTTTCGAAGGCATCTTTCGCTATACTTTTACTCTAAATACCGGCTGTTGCAGACATACCTTCCACATTTTAAACTGTCACTTGTTGCTAGTGAAGTTAGGCAAGTGGTAATGTTGTCTTACCATTTTTTCAGATACCATCAGCTACTATGATGGCTTGGACTGGTGCACACAGTGCGTTTGTTGTTGAAAAGTTTTATCAAAGACAGGAGAATCTGTAATTGCAACACAGAGAGCTTTTCCTGCTAATTTCACGTTACGTCGTAATAATACTGTTCGAGAAAAAAAAAAACTGATACTGCTATGGGTTGAACATTTCAGTGCCACAGGTTCAGCGCTTAAAATAAAGCCACTTCAGAAAATGTCCAGGCTGTCTGACATTCACACATTCATCCTTTAAAGATACTTTGTGCTTTGGGATTGTCTGATTGAGCAGTTAGGAAAATTTTACACACCGCTCTGAAGTTCCATTCAAACAATGGTTGTTCAGCAACTGCAAGAATGCGACTGGGATAATCGGATAGCTATGACGATATCTGTTATAATTCATCATGATGATGATATTTCATCATTCTAGAAATAAAGATCTGAAACTTCATCATTCTAAAAACAACCTTTCCATTACAAGCAAAGTAGCAGTAGTAAAAAGAACAACACAGACGTATCCTCTTCGTTCTGTAAAATCCAGAGTTGGCGGTTTCAAAAGCTTTCCGCAACCATGAAATTTTCAGGACAATCATAAACAAGTAAGCCCAAATTTTAAAGAAACATAAACCGGCAATAATTCTGAGAATATTTAACACATACAAAACCATTATTGTAAATAACATCACGAAAAGAAATGTACTCATCCTTGTCATTAATTTCAACACGTGTCTCAAAGTCTTATTGTTGTATGTTATTGTACGTTTTATTCATTTTCAGTATAAAAAAAGAGAAAAGGAATCCTCTATCAACAACTAATACATGTAAACACGGCGTAACTTACATTAACAACTCAACAAACGATCCCTTTACATATCCTTCGAAATTCTCTGTTTAATCTCCCCGACTGCGTCAATAATCAGAATTTTCTCTATTGGGGGAAGAATAACACTAAACCCTATCCTGTGTTGAATTTCCCATTTTAAAGTTGTCATAATGGAATCATACATCGGTGGATTTTTGTGTTTAGATGGTATTAATTAATCATTAATTAATTAGAATTAATTAATTCTACATTAGGAGTGTCATCACGGTTCTCATTCCAATTCAAGATTATAATCTATTTTTTTAAAAATATTTATGAAGATACATATGAATAATTTCCTTAATAAAGAAAAACATAAATTCTTGTGTAAAAATAAAATGAAAAAGAGATCTTAAAATTTCATCAGTTTTATGATAAAAAAAATTCAATAAAACAAATTATAATAAAAATTTAGGTATGAAACAATTGAGTGGTATTATTTTATTACGTGACTGTTGTGTTGTAAATAGTACAAGTTTTCTTTCATGTCATAAACTGCTAGCAAACAGTTTATGATGTTTTCAAGGTATCAAGGAAAAAGTGCATTGTTTGATATTGTAGGGATACTAGTAAATTGATATAAATTAGAGAAAATCTTTTCTCACATCCGCAACAAATAAGTAAAAAAAAAAAATCTAACCATTTATTTGAGTAAAAGAGTGCTGAACGCCGTGACAAGAAATAAAAATGAAAATGTATTCGTTTGTATTTTGTTTGCGCCACCTGCAAAAAAAAAAAAAAAAAAAATAATAAAAATATAATAAATAAAAAATAAGACTAAAAATGTGTTCTATAGATTCAGAGCAAAAACTGTTAGAAATAAATATTTATTGGTATATACTTACTCGACCTCCCCTCTAAGACGGGAATGTGATGCAAGATCGTTTTTATGTGGGGAGCCCATACACATGCGTATGCATATGGGCCAAGGATAAAAATTACCTCGGCACTGCGACCACTGTCACATTGGTATCGATATTACACCGAACCCGCATCTCTTAGTGCAATGAGGTAAGTGCTACCAGACATCGTCTCTTATCTAAAATAAGGATAGCAGTTTATTCCACTCTTGTACCAGGGGTATTTTTCAGCGTGCCAACGTTGCTACTGAATACGACACATGGTCAGTTTATAGTGAGTTTAATGGCAACAATATGGAAGAATTACTCAGGTCCGCTCAGCACTTCCCCTTTTAGAGATCCCTCAGGCGCCGGGCAATAAACCCAACTCCCTCTCAAAGGAGGGGTACTGCCAGGGGATGAAATGAAAAATATTAAACTCAAGTCCGGGCGGACTTGAGCTTAATATTTTTTAAAAACTTTTCAGGCAAAAGTTCCAGGGGTGTTTTCAACGACCCCACGTCGCTACCGGATGTGACACAAGGTCGAGGTTTAAAGTGGGTTTAACGGGCGTATCGTGGGAAAATTGTTCAAACTCCTTTGGCACTTCCCCTTTTGGGGACGCCTCAGACGCCGGACAATAAACCCAGCCCCCTTTCAAGGGAGGGACTTCGTATGAACTCATGTAAATAAATATAGGAATTTAACCGTTTATATTTCTTTTGCTCAGTAAATGTTATTTCTGGACATCGTCCCAAATTAAATCCTACCAAGTGTGGAACAACGAGTCACTGACAGTGAAAAACGGATTTATTAAGAGAATCAAAAACAAATAATATCCAAGACAGCCTTCAATCTATAGCGGGTCTTCTAGGGAAGAAATAGTTACTGGTGATAAAAATATCGATTTCTTACAAGAATCTAAAACGAAGAATATTGTGGCTAGATCTAGGACTGAATTCAACATCTCAACCTAAACCGAATCGTGTTTTGCAAATTCTCCCTCTCTGTGTTTTGTGTTACATTCCTGGCTTTGAATATTGCTGCCACATATGCTCTGATGCACCTGCAATATATTTAGAGGTTCTTGATGAAATTCAAAGAAGAATCTGTAATGTTATTGGTCCTGACTCGATATCTCGATTTCAGTCACTTTCCCATCGCCGTAATCTAGCTTCTCCGTGCCCTTTTTATAAATACTTTCATTGTAATTATTCTGATAAACTTTCCTCTATGCTATCGAGACTTTAGAATTTAAGCGTAGTACTAGATTGGCTAAAAGGCCACACTACTTTACAATTAAAATGGCTAGATGGAACCGTAAGTTCTATGTTAACAGTTTCTTCTATCGCATTTGTCGCTTGTAGAAATCTCTTCTGGCTTCTGGCTACCTAGCCAACTTTGGTCTTCAAAGATTTAAATGCAATGTCAGTTGTTATGTATTGTCTTCTTAATTCTTGTTCTTTTATTCTCCTCACTCGTATATTTTTCTCATATTCGCTCACACTCAGTACCCCGCTTGCGTCTTAATAGCTTTATTGCCTTGCTTGGGGTGAAATGATTAAAAAAAAATATCAAAAGAAATTATGAATTGTTAAAGACTAGACAAACTTCTACCTCACTGCGTATTCAACCGTGTCACACATTGACCTGTAAGTGTCCCCCCGCTTCCATCCGTTTTCTTTGACCTCGACTCCCTTTGGGATCAATATTTAGTGAAAACGCGTAAAAGAAAGAAAAAGAGCAATTATTTAACTTTCGTTATTCTCAATTATTGTATACACTTTTTAACTCCCTTGGCATTGTTTATTGTTCTAAAAAGTGATGATCAGAATATTTATAAAATTAAAACATATGAAAATGGAAAAATACATTTTCTAATTTTGTAATTTTTTATAAATGTTTTTAACTAAAAAAATATTTCTTTTCCAATTTATTTCTTTATAAAATAGTAAATAATACATCTTAATTTTAAAGGTAAATAATAAAGTCCAAATATATGAAAATGGATTTATAGATTTTCTATAGTCTTGAGATTTGACAACGAAGACACTATTTATTTATAAGATTGAATAAAAAAAATTGTTTTCATATTTATTTATAAAATGGTAAATAATAAATATTGCATTGCAGTTGGTTTACTTATTCTGATAATTTTGGAATTTGTTTAAATAAATTTTTGTATAAAAAAGATTTCTTTTCAAATTTATTTCTTTATAAAATGGTAAATAATAGATCCTTAAAGGCAGATAATAAAAAATAACGCATTGTACTTGGTTCAAATATTTTTATAATCTTGTAAATAAACATTGTTGAGGGTATCATGAGTGTGTATACAGTAGTGGTGTCAATGGAATAACCAACCTTTTGTTGACACACTGTTTTTTGACGAACACAAAGACTTATTTGAGTTACTATACCTGTTTTTTTTTTCTTCTTAAACAGCAAAATTGAGAACAACTTGTCTAGATTGAGAAGTCTTATTAAAGAAGCATGGGGGTACAGGTTCGATTCCTGTCGGAGACACGACCTTTTTTTTTTTAGGACTTCACAATCTAGCAACTTAAATACGTGTACCCACTAACACACACACGCATGCGCGCAGGGTGCGATGGATAAATTGTCGTCTAAATTACACGAAAATGAAAATAACACTATCTCATTTCAACAGATATATTTACCAAAATGGTACAAAAATATCTTGAAATACTAAAGAGTAAATCGCCATTGGTTAACCACGGCCCCCAGACGAATTCGCAACTCTTTTGGACGGTCGTCTCCTAGTTTAAATTGTTGAATGCTGCCATAATCCTTGCCTTCAGTTCATCCATAGTATTACAAGTACTTTTGTTGGTCTCTCGCTCAACTGCACGGCACACATAATAATGAAGGGGGTTGCAGTTTGGGGAGTGAGGTGGCCAGATGGGGTCACATCACCCCTTAGGGTGATATGGCCCCATCTTTGTCGCCAAAATTGTCTGACAGCTATGACTAGGTTCTCCCGCTTGTGTGGCATAGTGCAGAGTCCTTTTGCCAGACATAAGGTATTTCACCTTATAAGGTATAGCCACCCTCTAACACAGGGCAGCACCACCTCCTCAAGGCACTTGATGTAGGCTTCCGTGTTGAATCTGAGGCAAATTTGCGAGTTCTTTTCTTATCAGAACGATCACAGTGAGTTTTCCGAGATGTCGTATCTTCGTAATCACCAGTAGACTCATCTAACTCTTTCGAATCATCTGCATTGTCTTCAGATTGACACCCAAACACTCTGAAATGTTCGTATTGAAGCTTTGGGCGCTAATGCCAAGCAATACAGCATAACATTTCCAAATTTCTGGTGTAGTGAATTGCGTCATGGTGCTTTTTTTTCTCACAGACAGTGCTCAACTGACCCTACTATAATGTGCAGTCGACAAAATACAAAAACAAACAACGCACATAAGCGAAATTAAAAATATAAAATGGCGACAATTTACCCATCGCACCCAGTATATGTCTCTCTGTGTATGTAAGTAATGTATGCACGTGTGTGTGCAAAATTGTACGTACTTCCTTCAATTTCTTTTTCAGTTCATAATATTGTAATTAGTTTATTTGTACAGGTTCATATCTATGCATTGTGGCAGTGTATTTACATTAGGAATAATTCCTAATGTAAATTAATCATCACTAACATCACGGTCAAATTCGAGGGATCTCGCCAATATATTTTATGATGAAGTTAAAAAAAACAAAAAAAACGACCCCTCCCCCCAAAAAAAGAAAAAGACTAAAACAAAACAAAATAAAGCAAAAAAAAAAATACGAAGTAGGTGTTTTAAGAATTTTACCTGTCAGTGATTTCTTGCAAATGAAAGAGGCTGGTGTATTGCAGTTTAAATCGGCGTACCGCCCTTCGTAAAAAATGGCCGCACAATTCTCGTTACCATTTTTATTATCTGGCTGACCATTCCATTTGCTGTTGGCAAAGAAAAGGCATCTGTCTCAAAAAATGTCCATTGTCCATTCCATCTATCTATTGGTCATGTGATAGGATAATCCTAAAACTGAAAACACACACACACAGACACGCACACACACACACACACACACACATGCAAATATATTAAATCTTGCCTAAGTTAATCAACTATTCTATTTTATATGATTTTTTTTTAAATAAAATAAAATAAAAATAATATAAAATAAAAGTTAATATGAATTTGGCAAATTTACTGCTAAAACAAAACAACTTATTTGGAAATTTGAAAGATTTAATAAAGAAATTGATAAACGGAAGTTATCTATCTATCTATCTATCTATCTATCTATCTATCTATCTCATATATATATGTGTGTGTGTGTGTGTATATATTGTTATCCACAGATAGACTGATTCGCTGTATGGCGAAACATCCGGATTACCTCAAGTCGGGATCGAAACTCGACTGATTTGGCATCAGTATATATATATATATATATATATATATATATATATATATATAAAGTAGATGTCGACTAGATGGAGTTTTCAAAACTGGTGTAATTAAAGAACAATAATAACTTTTCTCGACCAGAAAAATCTTCTGAATGAGAGATCAGAAATAATGACACGATACATACACACAAAAGAGTTTCCTTTGAGTTCGTACGAACCAGGATGAAAGTATGTACATTTCAAATCCCCCCCCCCGTGTGTGGGGGTGTTTGATTAAAAAACAACGAATGTTTCTTTGTTGATTATGTTTTATTTACTTTTTCAATGTTTCTAATCATATGTTTTTGATTCCCGGTTGGCATTGGTAAATAAAGCTTCCTATATAAGCACTTGGAAAAGCCATTTTCAAAAACATTTTTTGCTTGTTATGTCGCCAGTTTAATTTTTTCCAAATATTGCATTTCGCGTGTTGGCTTTTATCCCGTTTCACGTATTCGCCTGGGTATTGGTGTCTTCTATTTTTTTTTTTAAGAAATATACTTTGCATGTTGCTTTCGAGGTTTGATTTAAATTGGCGCTTAGATATGGGAAATTTTATTTACCACAAACAACCAGAAAAAATATTAGAAATATTGAAAAAGTAAATAAAAAATAACCAACTACTTTCGTTGTTTTTTAATCGAACGCGCATAAAGAAAAAAAAATACTGTCCAAATATACCATACACACACACACACACACACGCGCGCGCGCACACGCACACCCACCCACATATATATGTATATACTATTCTCCCAAGCAAACGTACACAGTTGTATCAAGAAATCAAAAGAAAATGGTTAAAACCGTCAATACAATAATAAAAACAATATTTCCACACGTGACAGATTTTTCTGGTCGATGACGTAATTTCCAGTTGACAATATGAATAATACAATAGATTTTCTACATTCTTCCAGTTGCTAAGGGAATCTTGTTTTGTTGTTAATAGTTACTTTGTTTTAATAAATTCATTTCATTTTTGTTTTGAGAAAGTCCACGTTGGACGAAACGCGTCGGCTAATAATACAGTTTTCCTATTGTCGCTTACCTATATAATATTTGTCATTTTCTACATGCTAACACTGAGAAATTTTTTCATCTCTCTCTCTCTATATATATATATATATATATATTTGGTGTTCAAATACCCTATATATATATATATATATATATATATATATATATATATATATATATATATATATATATAAAAAAAGTAAAAGGTTTGTCTGATTGATGTTACCTTCAACATCCTGACTCCATACACATACCCGTCCATCCACTCGTCAGGGGTATCAGCAATTGACTGCTATATATATATTGTTTGTTTGGATAGCAATATATATATATATATATATATATATATATATATGGATTTAAACAGAACTTGATACCTTTGAAAAAGTGTTAATCGAAAGGTACCTAAGTTATATAATGACGTCCGTTCTGTTTAAATCTATGTTTTATTTCTGTGAGTACAAATCACTTAGGATCACAGGAGGGGCAGTGTGACTCGAGACTATGGGAGCTGAGGCATAAATACAAACTCCATCTTTCAATCTTGACAACGATTTTTAAATCCAGTTCTTCATCAAGCCATCTCGCTTTACTTCCGACAGTCTTGTTGTATACTATCCATATGTTAATTTAGTACAGAATTGCCAGTGTGGGGCATCCGGTGCGTATCGAACTCACTTCACAAATAATATGGTTTGCAAAACGAGATTGTAAAATCTCGCGCTACGGCAGGCGCCTAGTTATATATATTTCATTATTGGGAAATGATGTTTTGGATATTTATCGAAGTATTAACGACATTCATGTTGGCCAAATATTCATAGCATAAAGCAACTTATACGATTTCTTTTCATTTTAAGTATTTATAAATATTTATAGTTTATCGTTATACACAGTTCGTCTCAAATGTTCGGGGAATTTGAAGAGATTGTGTCAACCGAATATCATATGGGCGTTTGCCATTTATCTTTGTGAACCAAACATTTGGCAAATTACTACTTCCAAGGAGATGGTGGAAAATAGATATTAATATATTAAACTTTGAATTCATACGTGTAATGTTCCCAACTAAACCAATCAAAGGTAGCAATCGATGAAATGCGTCTCTTTGCAAACTCGACAATACTTGACATGTCCTTCTACGCCTGCCATATATTCACTTGATCTTGCACTTTCGGATTACCAATTATTTTGATCCCTTACAAAACTCTCTTAATGTGAAGAACTTCAATTCTCCGGAAGCCTGTAACAATCATTAAGCAAGTTCTTCACTCAGAAATTTGCCATCTTCCATGAGTATGGAATCATGAGGCCGCTACAAAAATGTCGAAACACAATATAACGAAATGGCACATATGTTGTCGAATAAATGTATGTACAAATATGTAACTATTGTCTTTGAAATTCACTTGAAAATCGCTACGAACTATTTTTCCTTTTTAGGCTCCCGTACTTTAAAACTGTCGACGTTAGCTTTGAAACGAACTAAAAAAAAAGTGGACCTAATTATTCTTACAGTTAAATTGTCCGAACAATTGGAGTCACACCTCGTGTGTAGCATTGGCTATTACTGTCTTGTCAAATCTGTGCCGCAGCTACCCAGTCCTCATTTGTCTCTCATGATAGAGGTCAAAAGCCTACACACGGCCTTGTGGGTGATGAATTACTTTCTACCCTACAGCACCTTTCCCACAGACGAAAGTTTGCGAGACTCTCGCAGCTCTATCGTTATTTCCATGACGTGTTCTGACGACCTACATTCCTTACTCTCATCAGCACTGACTTTTAAAAATGGGACCATCCAAACCACGTACACAAGGATGAATCATCCTCATTCTCTTTGTATTTCATTTGTAAGGAGGAAGTTCCATTCGATCAGCTTCTTTCCAAGAACTACTGCCTTGTGGAACAGACACCCGGTAGGATGTTTTTTCAAGCACTACAATCTTGACTTCTTCAAGTCTACGGTTAACCGTTATCTTTTCTTTTCGTATTCCTATAGTAAGAAGTAAGTTCCATTCGGACAGCTTCTTCCGAAGAACTACTGCCTTGTGGAACAGACTGTTGACAGGATGTTTTCCCAATCACTATAATCTTGACCTTTTCAAGTCTACGGTTAACTGTTATCTTTCCGGCATTGCCTCATGGATTTCACCTAGTCCTTTCTTACGCTCATACATCACCACACATTAATCCTCTACCTTGAGTGTCTCTTAGACCTTGTACTGGGTGATCATTAGTAAAAAAAAGTATTTTGAATGCATTGCTGTATAACTTACATCAGTGACATGTCCGGTGGTGTTTGACTATCATCGGCCCATTTCCATACTCCTTCCACATTCCGGTCATTTAAACCTGTCCACCAAGTTGCTGATGTATTCGACAATGATGCCAAATAGCCTTCTAACCATTCCTATAGCGAGGAATAAACATGAAGAGAGATTAGAAAGTAATACTCCATTTCCTAGTGAAATTGTAACGGCCATATTCATTCTTGACAAGTTGAAAGGAATAATTTCAGTTTTGTTTAACGATGAGGATCGAGTAAACACTTTTTAAAACAAATTTTATCTGGCAGGGATCAAAATGATTTATTACTACTGCTGCTGCGGTTATAGCCTTGCTGTCATTTGTCTTTCTTTCTTTATTAGCAGCTCCAATATTGTATTTATTTCTATGCTAGGCTTACCAAGGAGGTCTAGCAAATATGCTGATTCTTTCAGACGCCTAACTCTCCAGTGTTCTTCCTTTCCTGGTATTTTCACTTGATTCCACAGGGGCTGAATACGACCCCTTTCCCTCCATACATGATCAGCCATGCATGATTTCATTGTCTCATTACTGCTTTTCGATGTTACTCCAGCTTTACTTTTAGGGGAGGCTTGTTTTATCTTTATATTTTCTAACAGTTGTTATTGCTGTTGTTACTAACTAAAAAGTTTTATTTTGACAAGTCATTTTACAATCAATGAATATATATTTATTAAAAATATAAAAACATGTGACGTGTTTTATTTAATTTTCTTAATATAATTTAATTATAAATAAAATTTAATTCTGTTAAAATTGTTATAAATTTGGTAAAACGCGACAAACGAATTCGAACCTCGAAGTAGCCAGGAAATCGATATCTCGACGACGAAAGCGTTATTTCGTATTAACTTAGATATTGGATTTTTAAAAATTTCTAACCCAATATTATTCTAAACGTTATATTTTAGCAGATACTCGTGTTTGACTTGACAGTCTGTTTTTAGGCCGCTAAATATGTATCTCCAAAAGAGTAATTGAACCTTGCTGAAAATTATGTAATTTTGTAATGGCAATATTTAAAAACTCAAATATAAAGACTTTCTAACAGAACAGGCACTCGCAGTCTCGGCAAACTATGAAATTGCGCTGTAAATGATGTTCCAACCGCAGCATCTAGACCAGAGTTTCCAAAACAGGGTTATACCGCCCACCGGTGGACGATTTCAACTGTTGGATGGGCGATGCGTATTTTTTTTTTCTACATCATGAAGTCAGTTTATGAACGAGTAACAAACTTTTACCTAACAATTTTGATATGCTTTTGAATATTTAATATAAAGGTGGGCAGTGAAACATTTTTCCATGTGAAGTGGGCAATGACAAAAAAAAAAAAAAAAAAAAAAAAAAGCGACTGATCTAGACTTCTGCTTTCCGTTTCTCTAGTGCGTAAGACCAGGGTAGATCGATATAAACGACAGTTTTTTATGCATGCAGTAAATCCCTTTCTCTCAACGTCGCTGAAATAATCTAATGGAAATGAAAATGTCGATACACGTGGTTGCAGCGCCGTCGTAGGGCGTTGCTGCATACAGTCACCAACTGCCTTATGGACTCCATGTAGGAAAATATGACAAGGATGTGTTGAGGTTGGGAGAAACAATTAATAGGTAACAGAATTTTCTCTGAACAGGCAGAGAAGGAAGAGAGACGGGGAGAAATAAAAACTGAGTCAAAACGAGTGAAACCACTGACTTAAAAAACACAGCACGGCAGGCGGTACGCAACTTCCGGAACAAAATTCCCTAAGGGAACGTCTTTAAAAAACACCGAATCTCCGAAGATAGCAAAGCGTTTCTTGCCACTAACTAGCTATGTCAGACATGTCCACAAGCAACTCGGGACTTCTTTTACGTCAGTACTGACACACACTCGCCACAGTCCAACTCCGGATCTTTCCTTAGAGTTTACTTCCGATGCCTTTTCTATGAGTGGGTATAGCCTCAAGACAGCGAAAGTTTTAAATGAAGGTTTTTCTTTAACTGTTGGCTCTGATCTGGCAGCTCGGCTCTAGTCACTTTCCCACCACCGTAAAGTTGCCTCTCTATATCTTTGTCATAAATACTTTCATGATAATTGTCCGAATGAGTTCCCATCAATTTACAATTAAGCTGGCTAGATGTAGCCGTAAATTCTATGCTAACAATTTCTTCTTTCGCACTTTTCATTTGAAGAACTCCCTTCCGGCTTCATGCTTTCCAGACAACTTTAATCTGCAATAATTTAAATGCAATGTCAATCGCTATCTACTGTCCTCCTGATTACTCTCTTTTCTTTCTGCTCATCATTATTGTTTCTGTTCCTAATTTTTTCGCGCCCTGTAATCTCGTTGTGATTTAGTGGCCTTACTGCCTTGCTTGGGGTGATATTGATAAGAAAAAAACAAAACAAAAAAAAAAAAAACTAGACGAGCTAGCTTCCCGGGTTTACGGGCTCCGTCTGCCCGATATATCGTGGACGTCAACTCGTGACCAAGTACAACCACTTCATAGACCCAATTCACTCTTCAATTTAAACTTATGTTTAAACAAAGATGTCGCTGATGATATCTCATGTGGCTTATTAGACCTGCATGTCGCATCACATATATTAAATGTCAGTTTTCCTGCAGTAGCTTGGTTTTCTGGATGCTGACATCTATAATGTCGGGCGAGTGCACTGACTAACCTACACACTTTAAGGCTACAAAAGAAATCAGGCTGAATGCCATATTGGTAGACAGCAGTGGTACTATGGGGTCGTCTGAAGCTAATGAGGCTTGTCTTTGAAAAGCAAACACGGCCACATTCGGTACTCGAAAGAGATTATTTCGTTCCATTTTCAGGGAGAGGGCTAACATTTGCCCTATATTAACCAGATCGTTTCGGTCCAGTATATGCATTACGGTTGTTTCCAAATTATATAACACCAGTTGCATTCAGTTTCCTCTACTTCATCCCATCCGCTCCAAAATCTTCCCATGTGACAATGTTGAACTTTCTATGTGAGTTTACATACATATAAACGCACACGCACATGAATACATATATAAATATTGATCCCGAGAAAGAAAGAGTGAGAGGGAGAAAGACAAAGGGGGGGGGAGATAAAGGGTGAGAGGAGAGAGAGAGAGGGAAGAGAGAGGGAGGGAGGAAGGGATGGAGGGAGAGAGATGGGGAGAGAGATGATGAGAGATAAATCGAGAGAGAGGGACAAAGGGGGAGAGAAAGGGTGAGAGGAGAGAGAGGGAAGAGAGAAGAAGGGAGGGAGAGAGATGTGGAGAGAGATGATGAGAGATAAAGGGAGAGAGAGAGAGTGAGAGAGAGAGAGAGAGGTGGAGTGTAGAGGAAATGGGCGACGACACCCTAGTTTATTTCACAGAAGATAGTGAACAATGCATGACAGAGTGATTTTTATCTTGGCTTACGAAATGTATCTCCAGTATTTCCCCAGTATTGTTTAAAAGAAAACGTAGACGAGTTTTTAACATATAGCCATTAAAAAAAAACCCTTAAAATGATGCCGCCGTTTGAAACTCGCAAACTCATTTTAAATTAAACTGTAAACGAGAGTCATATTCTTTGAATATAACTGTAATGGCAAGAGACTGAAGTCATATCACATCATATCACAAGAGATTTAACCCATTTCAGTCGTAATGTCAACACGTGTACTGTAGCCGTTGTAGCTGGATTTTGAATTGAGAGTTTTCTTTCTTCCGGAGTCCAATATGTCCTACAATTAATACCTAGCATTTCCATCGAGAAGAGATAGATTTGTACCTTTCCAAGAACATTTGCTCGGCAAATTGCTCGGCTGGAATTTGAACTCTGCACGTTTGTCCTGCTTTCCTTGCCGATAATCACGACGCCACGCTCACATCGCAAAAGACGGAAGTATCGCATAACGATGACGTAAATGAATAAAAGGATGACAAAAATGTTTAAAAAAATATAAAGAAGCGTATTTACCTTTTCTTCTTCACTGTGAATTGTCAATCTGGTGACGAGTTCATTTTCAACAGAAGGGTAAAGTTCACTACAACGAAGCGGCACTTCAAACCAGGTTCTTAGATCCTTCTTGTCAAGACCGGAGCTGAAGTAATAGCAGTAATTCTTGTGTCTTACCCATTTCTTTGCTTTGTTGGGACAAGTCATTTCTGCAAAATTCAAATTATGCTCACATGACAACGCTTTTTTTGGTCTCCCGATCTCCTATAATCATTTTATATCTCCTGAGATCCTATAAATTGACGGTCAGTCTGCTTGAAGAACAAAACACCATCGGCCAAATGTCTATCATTTATTATAAATGCATTTTAAAGCGAATTGAAAAACTTTAAAATATTATTACAATAAACTACATCCGCGTCTTGGGTAAGACGATAAACTCACTCCGACAGTAAGGGCTCTGATCAGGAGGTTTTGAGAAGCGTGGAACCACCTCTTAATTGCTCGTATTCCCAGGTCCACTCTGATCTAGGGTGGTAGCACCTGTTAGGGTCCCAGCTATGAGCAAATAGTTAACACCCAAGCTGGGGTGAAACCCCTATGAAAGTGTAAAAGTTTGTTTTAATACCAGCAATACATTTTGGAAAAAAAATATTACAAGAAATATATTTTTGAAAAAAAAAAAAAATATTACCAGCAATAAAATCTTGTCGGCATTAAACAACCTTATGAGGTTGATATGCCCGTAAAATAAACCAAACCAAATCAAACAAAACAAAACAAAGCAAAACAAAACAAAAACTAAAATATTATTAACAACAAAATGTTATCAAATTTAGGAACATGTATAATATATTTAATCAAAAAAAAAAAAAAAAAAACCATAACACGAACTCTCAATTGAAGCCGCAATGTAGCAATTTTTGAAAAAAACCGATTGATCACAAAAATCTCTTTGATTATGGCTTATAAAAGCGAAAAGTACTTAGACAACGGACAATATATTTTATGTGTGTACATACAATCGTGCACACACAACATTACCAGAAAAGAAGAGCGGTAACTATAGTAAATTTTAAATTTATTGATAATTTTCTAACATTTCCTCAACAGACCTCTTCCTAAATAAGACTATAAAACTAAACTAACTAAAACTCAATAAAATATTAGACCGCTTAAAATATCCCCTTAAATATTTAAGAATACTGGATAGTAAAAATATATATATGAAAAAGATGTTCACGGTGTATTCGTCAAGTAATTTTTACATTTATGTATCCCTTAGTTAAATTTCTGAAACTCCATGATATTAATAGAGCTGTCAACGCCTCATAAGAACATGACTCAAAAGCAAGTAATATTTGTTTGAATTCAGATTAATTGAAATTTAAATAACCTATTTTTTTCTCAAATAACGTTTCAGAAAAGTATGTATATACTTTTGCAAGCTTTTTTAATAAAGAGAATTATGTTGTATTGACAGATTTGTCAATATGGACAATTTTATAGGTTTTACTGATAATCAGAAAAAAATAATTCCAATCACTTTAAATTCGGTTTGAAATGTAGCAAAGTATTTTGTAAATATTAATTTTAATCTATTAGCTTCGAATTAAAAATAAAATAAAAGCCCCGGGAAATATTTTTTTATATATATATATATATATATATATATATATATATGTTTTATTTTCTATCTATCTATCTATCTATCTATCTATCTATATATATATATATATATATATATATATATATATGTGTGTGTGTGTGTGTGGGTGTGTGTGTAACGTAATTGGGCGCTGAAAAGTTCTTGGACTGATTAGGAAGGTATTTCCTCTAAAATCTGATGTTAGGTTATTTGGCCAGATTTTGGGAAGTATGTCAAGTCAAGAACTTTCCAATACTCACTTATATGTTTATATTATATTTTATCTATGTGTATATGATTTTCTCTCTCTTTTAATTAATCATAGCTAGCGATCGAAAGGTTATGAAGGATTGAAATAAAGTTCATATTTATATATATTTACTCCAGAATCATTTTCCAACTTATTCAAGATGGTCTTCTTAGAACCTTCTGCTCTTTGGACTGTCATAGCCGAAACTCCTCTCTCATGTGCCAAACGTCTTATAGATTGAGTTGGATTTTTTCAAATTGATCGCTTTCGTTCTAAGTTGAAATGATGATCCCTCTTCCTGTTGTGCTTTCTTGATCCAGTTTTCCTCTCTGCTATTTAATTAAATAAACAGAGCATTTACTAGAATATGAGTATCCATCTAAAATAACGTCTAAGCGACACAAATTAAAATATGTCGGATTTAATTCAATTCATACATACACGTATCCTTGTGTGTGTATGTATATAATATGATGGCTTAAATGTTTACACACTTAGCTGTAGCTAATATTCTAATTTTCAGATTGTGGTGAACCTCGAAGACTTTCTACTGACAAACGTTGAATTAACTCTAGCCCAAATTGAGCACTTAGAAACATAATTTGGGACGTATATGCAATAATTATAAACAGTGTTGTTTTGGATCAGATCTTTGTTGTCTGAATTCATTCCAATCAATTTAAAATCGGTTTGAAATACAGCAAAGTATTTTGCATATTGGAAACATTAAAGTTATTCTCTGACGCTTGACTTAGAACTAAAATATAAACTTTAAGAAAGATTTTTCATTAAAAATGATTTTTTTTCCGTACATTTTTAGGGTTTTGGCCTTGTTCAACTATCGGTTATATCAGATTATGTACACTCAGAAACTATAACTAAGGTTTTCTCAGAATAGTTTTTTCTTAATCATTTTATGCCAAGCAAAGCTGAAATGCCACTAGTAACCAGGGGGTTACAGGGAGTGAAAGTGAGAGAAAAGACTGAGAATAGGGAGGATTTAAGAAAGATGAACAGAATTCAAGAAGATAGATGATTGCAATTGACGTTGAATTTAAATTTTTGAAGATTGCAGTTATCAGGAAGTAAGTAAACGGAAGGGAATTCCACAATTGGAGAGTTCGAGAAATTAAACTGTTTGAGTATAAATGGCGGCTGCATTTAGCTATTTCAACAGTAAACAGATAGGAACTAGATGCTAAACTAGTAGCACGCTTAAATTCATCTAGTCAGAGCACAGGGAAAAAAAACTCGTCAGAGCAGTTGTCATGAAAATATTTGTAGAAAAGACAGAAGGAAGCCATGTCATGTTGGGGAGAAAGTGATTGAAGTCGAGATGCCAAGTCGAGATGCCAAGTCAAGATGCCAAGTCAAGATCGATTATATTGCAGATCCTTCTTTGGATTTTGTCAAAAACCTCGAGATGAATTGCAGGAATGGCAACAGTATTGAATGCACGGACCAATGATAGATTTGTAAATGTACAAGATAGACTCCGAGGAGAAATATTTTCTGGCACGACACAGTGACCAAACTTTCCTTGCAGTAGATGCAGCTACTTATTCGATATTGTCGCTCCACTTTAAATCAGTTGAAAACGTGAGGCCAAAAAGGCACAGTGTGTTGTTCTCTAAGAGTCTAGCATCAGCCATGCTGATGGGAGGCAGAAGAATTTCTCTATGGTGGTTAAATGAAGACAGTTTTGTTTTGGTGGCATTAAAATTTACATGCCATTTTAGGTTAGTTGCAGTATAAACCACAGGTAGGTTATTTGGTTGTTGAATAAACACAAATGAATCTTAGTATGAGTGTACAACAGGGTTTGGCGAATCACATTAGCAAACGGATGTGCTCGGAAAACTATTGGCCGGTCATTATGCATGGAAGATATTGGTGCTTTTCAAAGTTTAGCTTTAGATGTGGCACAAGGCCGAAAGTAGAGGGTAACCAGTGTGGATTGAACTCGCTGCTCAGGCGTAATTGAGCTAGAAAGACAAAAAGAAACAGATAATAGTGATTTACTAAGCCCAGCTTAGATGTGGCACAAGGCCAAAAGTATGGGGCACCTCCTGTGGATCGAACTTTCTGTTCAGTCGTAACTGATTCAGCGGGGCATGTTTGCTATTACACTACGTCGAAATGCCGTATGCATGATATACATATATATATATATATATATATATATATATATATATATATATATATATATATATACATATATATATATATATATATATATATATACTAAAAAAAGTCGCATTATAGGGCGGTATTTAAGCTAGCTTCTGCGGATGGTTTTTGATTGAGCCTTCGGCTTGTTCAAGAGTTTGAGAGTCTTTCAGTATTTTCAGCATTTGAAGCTCCCCCGGTTGTAGTTTGATCTGGGTTTTCATTTGTGCGGGATTTTCTTTTCCTCGATACAGCTTTGGCTCTTTTTTTATTTTTTTTATTGCAATCTGGTCCTCTGTTGGCGAAGATTTCTTTTTACGATGCATACTGCTACCGTATGCGCTTGGCAACAATAGACTACTGAAAAACTCAAAATTGATCGCTGCATTTAAATATTGCATCTTTTAAATGTTCAACGATAATTCTGCTACCACCACTTAATTTAAAGACAATTTGATGTGCGTAGTTCCTTACTTTCCGTACAAATATTTATTTTTATTTCATGGGTGACTTTCGATGGATTTCGCAATTAATTTTGATTATTCTCAAATTTATTTCCAAGTTATAAAAATTGGTATCGTGCAAAATTTTGTCGCAAAAATATCACGTAAAAAATCACCGAAAACAGTAATGAAAACTTGGGAATCCAAAATTTCAGTAACATGAGCGATTGAAAATGAAAGAGTTGTGTTCCTTCAAATGAAAAAGTGTGACACAGTGAGACATTGACATTCGCATTATATCTATCTATCTATCTATCTATCTATGAAGAAATATACTCTTAAGGTGTGCTATATTTATGGGATAATGTGCTCAATATCAGAGATAGAGCGTGTGTAAATATAAAAATGAACATTGAAAAAGTATTTAACACATTGGTTTTTCTTA